GTTTTTAAATATAAAAGACTACCTAGACTCTTCAACATCTAAGTAGAGTTTGGATACGAATTTTTATATTTAAATCCCGTCTTATTATTTTTTTATTATTATTTTATAATTGTTGTTTTAATAAAACAAATTATTTTGAGTTACAAAAATATATAAAAATTCTTAATAAAATAAATTTCCTAAATACTCTAACATCTATGCGGTATTCAGGAATAGATTATTTCATTAAAAGATTTTCATGTAAATCTTTATAAATTTAAACGAGTTTGAGGTTTTTGATAGGTTCAAGTTTGAACTTTAAGAAATTACAAACTTCTCTTTTTCTTAATAATTTTATATTAATGCAACATGAAACAAATAACTTATGCGAATGAAAATCAAAAATTAAAACAACCAATTTAATTGATTTTTTACGTTTTATACATATTTACTTATTATTTTTTCTTTCTAGAAATTAAAAGTGAAATAAATTTTATTTATGACAAATTTTACCTTATATTTTAAATTCTAATTTAATTTAACTTGATTTAATTTTTTTATTTTTGATTTGATTAGAATTTTTTTATTCTTCAACATTTAGACGGAATTCAATTTTTTTTTTTTAAAAAAAGTGATTTTGAATTTTTTCCAATATCTAAACAAGGTTTTCAAAATTTATTTATTTTGTATAAAAATTATTTAATAATTCTATCCTATTAGCAAAAATTAAATATAATATCAATGCAAGCCTACATAATTTTTAATTCTTAAACATGTATTTTTCTATAAATTAAGTAAAGGGCATGTAAAAGTATACAAACATGTTTTAAAATAAAAAAAAAAAAATTTTACCCAGCAAACTTTTCACATTGTAGTCCAAAATAGAAGTCTGTGTACTCTCTGGTCTAATGGATAGGCGGAGTCTGTGGCCGGTCATGCCAGGTTGGTGCGGGTATCGGGTCAGACAGGTAGGATCCGGGTCCACCCAATTCAGCTTTTTGGTTTTTTTTTCTTGACAAGCTCACTATAAAATCCCCAATTTTTTTAATAATCATTTCTTCCTTTCTTTTTCCTAAAAAAAAGAAAAAAAGTTCTTATTCAAAAACAGAACAAAACTCTCCACAGCCCAGTGTGCGACCGCTGCCGTGCTCCGTCTCTAGCACCGCTGGCGTCGGCGTCCTTTCAACCAAGTTTCACCCGCGATTCCCTCAGCCTCCTCTTCTTGATCTAGGCCTTAGATTTGTCCAAAAAATCCCTCTAAATTGATAAATCTAGATGCAAATGAAGTAAAACCAGTTTCAGGTTCATTTTCCAATTTCCCTAAATCTTGATTATGACTATGTTCTATATGGGTTGCTACAGAGGAATCATGAGTGCATTATAGTTATGAGCTACAATGCTTTTGTTGGGGTAACATAACGAGAGTTGAGTCCTCGAATTCCTTGGACTGAAAACGTAACCTTAATTAAAACAATGCTGGTAATTCATTTTCCAGTTAACTTTGCTTTGGACAGATCTTTCACCTCATTAGATCTGGGTAATTCTATTTCCGTGTTTAGGCACATCGCTATGATAGAGAATTGTGGCAGATGCGTGGTCTGTGGAAGCATTCAGGTTGAATCCTAAAACATAGGAGGTAAGATACGTCTAATTTGATTTAGTTAACATTTTGTACGTGTAGGATCCATAACCTACCTACAACTTTTATTTGATTTAGTACTTTGAGGATATTTGTAGAAAATAATAGAAATAAATACAATATAAAGAAACCATGGAAAATATTAGAAACTTTTTTTTATACATTCAAAAACTCAAAAATGTATTGACCCAACAAATCATTTTTATTGGCAAAAGCTCAATGGCTTAAAGGCCATTTTGATTTAGAGCTAAAAAGAAGAAAAAAAAATTCCAATTGTTGGCCTCGCTACCTCTTCGATTCAACTACAGTAATTTAATGTTAAACTATAATGGTATTCGTGCTCATCATCTTGTCATTTTTAAATATTTATATCTAAAATATGAATGTTAATAAAATTTTCATTTACCAAAAACCGTAGATTTTCATTACATTTTAAAAATTATTTATTATAGATATTAATATGATTTATCCAATTTATATACAATAATTCTAATTCCATTTTGAGTCGTTCATCATATGGATTTATTTGATAACTATTTAAAAAAAAAAGATAAAATTTATATTGAATTACTTTATCATCGTAGTTTTAATCTACGTCAAGGTTCATGTTAATTCTATATATTTTACATACGAGATAAACTTTCCATGCTAATGAAAATTTTAATTAATATGAGCAAAATAATATGAATGAAAAATAAAATAAATTAAAAATAATTTTATGAACTTGTGTGTGTGTCTACATAGCCACATACATAGAACTTGGGAAAGCTCAGACATGATAAATCTGAACACATAGCACTCAATTATTAGTCTAATTACTAATTTTTTTCTATTAAGCAATATTTGGTATCATTTTCAAAATTATTATAATAATGTAAACACTAAAATGAATAAATAATCTTATTATTAAAATGATATTATCACTCGTAATTTAAAATTCTTTTATTTTATTAACAATCATTAATTCTTAACAATTAAATATTATTGTGTTTTTAATAACTAAAACTCAAATATTATTGTGCGCGAAGTATTAAAATAATTGTGAATATTTTAATAGTTATATAAATTAATTATTTTAATATTATTTAAAAATAATAATTTGTAAATATTAATAATTTTTATTAACTTCATAACAAAATATTATTAAATTAAATAGATATAGACAGATAAAATAATTTTTATATTATTAAAATATGTTAAAAATTAAATTTAAAAATAAAACTAATCTATTAAAATCATAACAAAAGAAAACACAAAAAGATTATATTAATATAATATTAAAAAATTAAAAAAAAATACACATTAATTTTAAACTTATTACAACGAATGTTTGTTTAAAAATATAAAAAATCTATAATATAAAATAATTACAATTTTGAGAGGAATCAAAATTTTAATTGATATATAACATTAATTATTGTTAATTTTAACATATAATTTCATCTCAATAATAAAAAATTTAACCATTTTGTACAAAAATTATACCACCCTCTAAAATAGTGATTTGATCACTATGCCACATAAAATCATTAACTGTTTATTAAATAAAATAATTTAATCTCCATATATAAATCATTATGGATTTTAGAGTGATTATTTCGCCTTAATTGCACAAGAAGAAGCAATTACTTACATATTAGTTGAATAGGCTTGCGCTCGTTGTGTTACAAGTGCGAACATGGGCCATTGTTGGAGAATGGATAATAGCATTAAGGAAATTAACATGATGAAGAAAATTAACATTATACATTTGCGGATAGCATAGGATGATGCAGAAGGCTAGCAAAACGACAACATTAACGTGAGCAAGGTCCGATGACATGTCAGAAAGTGAGAAGGAAAAAGGTGATTCCAATAATATCCAGGACCAACTCTCATTCCCTAACTTGTTTTGATGATGTTAAGTCTAAAACATCTCTACAGTGTGTTGGTTAGGTGGGTATTCCAACACACCATATTTACTTCTCATAAAAAGCCATATGCCCAGTTACATGACTATATGTGCTACACATGTATCTTTCAAAAAGGTGGGGAACTCATCTTTCCAAAGCGGTCTTATTTGTGGGGGAGCGAGGGGAGGGGATAGAGACTGAAGACCTGCTAGGTAGCCTACACAAGACCTTAGTTTTGGAAGGTTCTGTGGGATATGACGGTAAGAAGCTCCTTCACAGTGAAGACAATTTGATAAGGGAAGATGCTGTCCCTCAAGGCAACCCTAACATCAACTCTATAGACACCGGTGAACCCAGAATATGGCAGGAGCTCTGGATGCTCTAGGATCAAATGACTCTCTCTCTCTCTCTCTATATACACACACACACACACATGCATCTTAAAGCATATGCTTGTATGGTTAACCCCGTAGAAAGAAAGTAGTTAATAATACATATCAAAGAATATACACATCAACCAGCAAAATACCTTCAATTTCTAAGAACAATATAAATCTGAACTTGCAAGAAATTGGTCCAACTGGAAATACTTTAAATGTGGCTCTTAAATGTCAAAGAAATGGCATGAAGAATTGAGATGTTATCCACAAGGTATATAAGAGCAGATGTGACTCCTTTTGGTGCATGTATGTGCCCAATTTTTAATGATTTGTTGGAAGCAGCATCACATTTCTTTTTTTTCACAAGGAACTATAAATCTGGAAAAGCTTAAACTATGAGATGGCTGGGCAGCTGGCAGGAGCGCACATAAAACAATATTGGCACAACAAAAGGTAAAAAATTTCCCAGAATTATGAACCACAACTTCAGGAACTAATATATTTAACTTCTCAGCAGGATTTGCAAGATTATCTCATCATAATATGAAAGCATTGACATGCGTTCATATTCTTTCTCCGTAAAAATATGTAGTATTTACTGTACACGTTTCCTTGGTCCAAATCTGTTCTCCAACATAATTCTCGGCTAACTAAAAAATTTGCTCCAAAACAACGATTAATGTTTTACCATATTTTCCTACCAGTGTTGGGTTGTACATTACCTGTAACAGAAAACTGATTCTTTTGTCATTTTTGAGTTATCCAGGGTTCCATCTAACATGTTTTTAATTTGTCAAGCACAAAGATTCAACTTGTATTCTTCTCCACAGGCACATTTAATCACATGAGAAATTCCCTGTGGAACATTGAGGCACCTATTAATGATCCGGCAAGGAAAACACTGGTCTAAGAGACTTTTAAGATAGAAATATTTAAACTTGAAAGTAAATGTCAGAATCATCAAGTTTCCTCTGTAAGGACAAACAATATGGATGGTGAAAATGTTCAACCATCCAAATTAGGACTAGCCCTTGCTTAAATATAGGTTGGCACCACATCCAAAGGCCATTTCACGAAACAGAAAGCTTAATCTAAAAAATGTATCTACCTTTATTTCTTCAACATGGTCCGCACTGAGCAAAGATACTCAGTTTCTCTATCTTTGTCTGACAGAAGCTTTTTGTATTTCTCTTCCAGGGTCATTGTGCTTATTTCCAATAGCTCTGGCTATAGTTACAATAAAATTGTGAGCAAAACAAAGAAGAAAACCATAAACAGATTCTAAGAGAATAAACATATTATGATTTTTTTTTTCCAGAGGACTGTCATTCACCTTTAAAAATATTTATATGCACAAAAGTATCAACTAAATAAAACAATTAGTTTACATAGAAGCAGCAATTAATACAAGCATTTCATATCATATTATTGTGACATTATATAGGCAATTCTGAAAATTGTTGCCATCAAGTGGTTGATATTTCAAGTGAACGAGCTAGTTTCTAAGGGTGAATCTACCAAACTCAATCAACCATTAGTCAGTAATACTAATGAAGGTTTTGTAATGGCATACTTGTAAAATATGGCCGCTTGAAAACAAGCACACACTTGTATGCATGAAGTTTAATAAGCAAGTCACCTTAAAATGGTTTGCTCTGCAGTTTGCTTGCTCAATAGACTTCTTGATCTGAAAGAAAAAAAAAAAAAAAAACCATAATATGGTTAGCTCTCTTTAACATTTCTTTCTACTTGCATTTTCCTTCTTTAAATCTTGGTGAGGAAGAGGCTAAACAGAATGCTGAACAAGCTACGGAGAAGGACAACTACCTCTGAGAAATATTTTGCTTGAAAAGGAACATTCTGAAATATAAATAAATAAGCCAATACTGAACTCGAGTTGTAAATATAGAAAGCAATCTCCTCCTTTGTATTTTAGACAAATAGAGAAAACTGCTTTCCCCTGGATAAAATATCTTAAAATGATTGATTCACTTTAGTAAAAGGCATGTCTTGTCCTGACCATTAGCTTGTTCATAATCAGAGGGAAAAGGAAAAAGAGAAGGGAAAAAGTGACTTGAATCCTATTCAATCAACAAATGCAAATAAATTAAAATTCTATCATAAAGGACAAGTTTGTTCCCTTTTCATTAGGAAAACAAATGAATCAATCAATTCTGTATGAAGTATTAACCACTATTAACCACACACAAGTGGTGGAGCTGTTTAAGTTTATTTACTAACCTTGCCATTATCTGTGACAAGTTTCGCTTTCATTTGTCTAATTCCATCCAGCTTGGCTTTAGCTAAGTCCAACTTGACAATCAGGTCATTACCTGCTTCATTGTTCTGGTATTCCAAGGAGCAATTAGAACAAAGCAAATCCTTAAATCTTCAAGTCATTGTGGAAGGGTTTTTACCACATCGTCCGTGATCAGTTGGTTTTCAATGCTAAAGTTACCTGCAAGATAAACCAAAATGATACGAAATAATCAACACTATCTATAAGTATCAATTATGCAGATCACCAAAATTTATTCTAGAATGTAGGTAGTAGGGTGAAGGTGAGTACTTTGCACCCTATGTAAGAACATTCATGAGTTTTCATATAAAATCTACATAATGTAAAATTCAGTAAAATTTTGTGTATCATTAACAAACTCTAGGTTTGGATTTTGCTCTTTCTTCCTTTCAGTAAATCTCACCACTATGATAAAGTAATAATGTACTGTTCTCAAGCTGTGTGATCTTTTTTATTTTAAAAAGCAATCCTTAGATCCTGATTTCTTGTACCAGAGCAAACAAAAGTAACGTAATGTCATAGATTGTACTTCCTGAGATCCATGTTATCGCAGACCACTTTGGATTTTTTTTTTCTTTCAACAAATAAAAGACTATTGATCAAGTGAAATATCTATACAGACATAAGTCTGCTCTGTGGTGTGACTACTTTGTTAATACGTGCAAAATCTTCTGCGATTTGGAAGCCAAAGTGTACTGCTTACTTGCCTAGACTGAACATTTAATGATATCTAGAACCAGACTATGCATAATAACATAAGCACCCCTAAATTATTTGATAAATGAAAGACAGGTTCATTTCTATGGGATCAAACAGCTCCTGTTTGGTTGAGATACATGCAACATGTATAATTTGTCACAAATTGAATTCTAAATGGGTGGAGGTCATCATAGGTAGCAGGAAAGATGCTGGCCACTCCTCACAATCACAGTGGAGGACAAAGAGAAAGGTTGCTAATAATAACGACAAAAAATAATTTTAAAGAAAAAAACTTGAAAGCATAACCCACATAACAATTAAAAATCAGAGAAATCTCCTCAAACAATAAATTGAGATAAGTCTAGAAGCCAGACCTTCAGATTCAGTCATTTGCTCATCAAGTTTATTCTTGACCTGCATATCCGATTTATTAGCATTTAAAAATTAATAATAATCTATTTACAAGAATTAGAAGCTATCCAAACATTCAGGTAAGAAAAAATGTCTGTAGGAATTAGAAAGTTGAAGCCATAGTAACTTGTCATGAGCAGACCTTTAAGAAGTCCCTTTCAGATTAAAAAAAAACAGTCAGAAGGAAAAATGATAAATCAGCCCCTCAGGGCATTATTAAAGGTTGATTTATAACTAGGGTAATACTTGATTATTGTATTCGCATTAGGGCTCTCTCTTTTCCCTTCTCAAAAGTGAAATTAGGAGATTTATGAACCAGATCAGCCTCAAAATAGATATTTAAACTAATTTGTCAGATCTCTCGACACACACATAAACTGAAAAAATTTGACATGAATTTTAACATATTAAAAATCTGCATTCAAACATTACACATGCATGCTTATTACTAAAAGGACATCAGTTTATTACTATCTCAGTTCAGGAAAGTAATTATTTCACCCATTGTTCATTTAAGGAGATGCGAAAGATCACAAGTGATACAATTTGTATAAAACGCTAGAAAATCAAACAAAGTTGTCAAGAATTACTGTATATCTCATCATTTTAAGTTTCCTACTCAGTCAATTTGGACTCATCAACATTAGTCAAAAGCTCAAAAAATTTGTAAACAATGAAGAGAGATGATAGACTAGCTCTGTTCTATAAGGGTTGTTTCTTTTGCCTATATTGTCTGTCTCTTTTCTGTTTCCTTTCTTGCTTTATTCATATTCCTAATCAAAGGAAATCATGGAAGATGTAGCGAAGTACCAAACCATGTTCTTCAATTTGTCTGCTGACTTTCTGAGATTTGACCCAGTCCTATGCACATAGTAAGAGGATATCACCAACTGTATGTTGAAAACTGAGCATGAAACTAAGAAATTCAGAGGAGGGTTATGGGACTCAAACCTGTTGTTGCTGTAATTTGGTAGAAAGATCCTTGGCCACCTTGGAGTAGTAAGTGCTGTCATCATAATCAAAATAGAGATTCATCATAGTTGTGCAATTAACCACAAAACTGAGATCAATCAATTAAAGTAAGAAATAGAAATAAATCAAGCATATAAAAGAATGCTAATAGAAGCAATTGACAAGGTTCAGCCTGAAACCTATATCCAGAGGCACATATGATGTAGAATATCCTGCCATATGACATCAGGAGATTACAACATGTTAAATCAAGAACCTCAGGTATCCATCAGGACAACACTGTCCATTGACATTAGTACCAGTAAAACCAGCTTCCTCAATTCGTAGCTAACATAGAACTAAGTACTGTGAGTTGCATCACTGTGACAGTCTCATGTGTTGATCAACATGTAAATATATGTGGACTTTTCTCCAGAAACATCCAGGAAGCCTATTCAATTTCACCAACAGTTTGGAACATAGATATCATGTTGGCCAACATGCTATGCATCATCACAGAGTTTAAGACATTTTTAGCAGTTGTTCTATCACATAGTGTGAATTAAATTGTCAGAAGTTCACTTTGAATTACCTCCTTTCTATTAGTTTGGAAGATTAAACTGATCTTTTCCTGTTGAATAGCTCCATTGTCTATACGCAAGTCAGAGACAAAAACAATAAGAATGTTGGCTGAAAATATAATGGCAAGAGGAACCTAATCTCGATAGATGAAACAAATGTTAACGTTTCAAATAGGTAGATAGTTAAAGTTTGACAGGCATATTGTTCAAAGACCATTGATTTTTTTCCCAAGTTTGAGCCTGCTATTCGATAAAACAATAGAAGAGTTATCTCATCAGGCTTGGCTACTCTCAAATTAGGTGCTTAAGGTTTCCTTCTTTGTTTAAAAGTTAAATATATATATACAACAGAGATTCTCAGTCAGAATATAATCCATAAAAAACACAGCAGAATGACTTCCTATACTTTGAAATGGCTGGGATAAATGTGACCATTTAGTATCAATAACTTGATTCCATATTCAAATTGTGATACTTCTTCTTTTTGTTATCAATAGGATAAGATGTGTGTACCGACTCATATAAGTGGAAAGAGAGAGAGATTACCTGGTTAGTGTGGATCTGAATCAGAGGTGTAAAGAGGCTATTTTTCTCTGTTTTCCAATTATATGCCAACATAATTGACCCTTCTCCTTGAGCATCTTCTCAGTATCTCTCTAAGTTGCATTGTTTTGGATTTTGCTGCAAATTAAAAACAAGTTTACGGTGATTGAAGAAGAAGAATAGAATAATCATTATTTCAAATAAATTCTTGGATTAGCAAAACAAACAAAAAAAAATACCAGAAAGGAGATCATTTTGTAAGGTTTGAATGGTGGTAAAGTGAATCTGCTCTTCAGCTGAAATGTTGGCGGCTTCATCCTCCACGTCTGCATTTCGTTTTCACAAATTTACAAACAATTCAGAATTTGATTGATTCCAAAGAAATTCAGAAAGAAAGAGACAGAACCCTTGATTTGGGAGCGGAGAGTTTTCATGCACTGCAAATACTCTTCCATTTTCGCTTTCTCTTCTCTTCCAAACAAACAAACAAACGATGATAGCTGCTTTACTTTTTTGAGGAAGGATTTTGGGAAACGGAGGGAAAACTTACAAAATTTACTGGCGACACGACACCCATCTTTTTATTCTATCGGGAACTTTTGCTGAAAGTTTAAATTTTTTTTTTCTTATTATAAGAGCATTGAATAATAAATATTAGATATACATGAATTAATATAAATTATTAATTATTTTTTAATTATAAAAATAATTAATTACTTGTTAACATGATTTTAATTAATTAAAATTAAATATTATTTATTAAATAAAATAAAAAGAATTTTAAAAATGTTAGGATTCTACTTTTTTTATTATTTTTTATGACTTATTTATTTTTTCCCTTTAACTTCTTTCTTATGCTTTGTTTCTTTATTGATTTCTTGTTTTTTTTTTTTTATATATCTTTTTATCTTTTTTTAGGTTTTTAAGAATTCCATGTATTGCGTTTTGAAATCTTATTGCACATTCATTTATACTTTGAAATTTCAGCGTCATTTCCATTAGTGCATCAAAAATTTATTTTGCAGCCAAATTTTTATTATTCATCTCAAGCAAATTTCAACATCTTTTTCATTCAAAAACAATACCATAAAAAAGCTTTAACATTAAAGGATTGCATGTACTAACCTTGTGTCGGTTTTGATATTTATTTATTTATTTCATAAAAAGAGCAATTTTTGTCTTGATATTAAGAGCCATAAGATTCATGTACTATCCTTGTATTTGTCAAGTTTTGTTGAAAATAATGAAATTTATGAGGTTACTTGTATTTTTTTCATCGATCTTTACTTTTAGTTGTTTTTATAATTGGATTTTATACTTTAATGACTTAAACCAAGTTCGATGTAATAAAGCAATATCTTGGAATACGTAGTTTCAACTTCTAAAGTTTGCTAAGATAAAAGTTCAAAGCTAAAGGCTACCAAATAGAGTTGATAATTTTAGATATAAATAGGTGATATTATACAAAAAATCATATATGTATTTTAAAAAAATACATTTCATAATTATATGTTTTGACATAAATTTCAATACGACACAATTCGTGTCATATATATGTTAATTCATTTAAATACATGACATAATACAAATAATATATTTAATATAATCTTATCATACGAGTATACATTTAATATGTTTAACGTGTTTAATATATTTTTATATTTATTTTAATTTAATATAACAGATTATTTTAATTTTTAATTTTTTAATTATGATACTTAATTAGCTATTTAATTTTATATAAAAATTATTTTAAATATTAATTATGATACTCATTTAATACTTATTATAAAATTATTTTTATATTAATAATATAAATACAATATAAATATTAATATTAGTCCCATACATTATTATTTTATTCTTTAATCTTTAATATTTTATCATTTTGAATTTGATACTAAAAATTAATATAGTTATGTAATATAAATTAAATTTATATATATATATATTAAATACATATTAAATGAATATTAAAATTTTTTTAATACGTAAGTAATTTTTTATATTATTAATATGCTAATTTTATTAAGTTGTCAATAATGGATAGTTTATAATTATTTATTATTTTAGTCGTGTTCTTATATATATTCGTATTAATCATATCTATTTGTGTATATCTGTGTTAGTCGTATCTATTTGTATTATTCATGTTTATTCATGTCGTATTTAAACGAATTAATTATATACATATTAATCGTGTCTTGTAATGTATAATACGTATATTAAACGTGTCGTGTTTGTGTTTAGGATTTAAATACGTTTTATAATTCGTGTCGTATTCATATTTTAATAATTCATATCATTACACATGTCAAACACGATATGAGACATGATACAAAAACACAAATTGCAAGGTGTACTACTGGACTATGTTGCTTCAACTCAAATGTAAGTGCCATACTCAAGTCTAATATCATATTCAATGTCTAAGTGTCAATTTTTTTTAATTTACTTGTATATAAAACTATTGGATTTGAATTTCATATTTTGTTGATTTGTATTGTATAGTACAAGAAAATACATACATTCACATGATTTATTCTTACATTTTACTTTAAAATTTTAATGTTTTTGTCTAGTGTTGTATGTGACTTATTATTATTTTATTCATTTTTTTAATTTATTTTTTTTTAATTTTATATGTAAGTATCAAAATAAACCAATTATAACACCCACATAATATAATTATTACGTAGAATTTAATAACTAAATACTATTGATTATATATACCAAAAATAATTTTATATTTAATATCTTTTAAGTTTCAAGCCATGTTCCCCTTAGATTTAAAAATAATATTTGGAGCAAATTTAAGTAATTAATAAAGAAGACTTTTGGTAAAATATAAATAGCAATGTATAAATTAATTAGAGGTTGGCGTAAAGTGTGAACATACTTGACTAAAAATAATAATGTAGTTGTCGTGACTAATAGTAATAGGTTGGTGTTGTGTTATAATGTTGAATCAAATCTTGCCACTTCTCAATTCTTTCTTATATGTTTTTTAGAAACACAACTATTACTTTATGGTTGCATTTTTTCTAGTTGCCAAAAAGATATATGTAGGTTAATGTATTTTAGTTTTCTTAATAATTTATACTAGTTTGTAGGTTAATGAAATTATATATTTTTTTCCTTATCAACTTACTTATTATAATAACATTCTTGTAAGAGTTTGTTACTTTAAAAGAGCTAATGGTTAAGACTGTGGAAGGAATGACTAAGATCATTACAAATAGAATCATAAAAAAAATAGTAGATAAGGTGGATAACTATGGAGAATTAGTAGTTAACAAATCTCATCGTCTATAGTGACTTAGGAATGCCAAATTAAATATTATATCAAACAAAGACAATTCTACAAATGAATAGAAAGAAAAATGAATGAAAAAAAAATGAGCTTAAGCATTTTTGGCGTAGCACTTAGCAAGAAGATTGAAGCTCTAAGACAATGTATCTAAGATCAACTAGGTAGTTCTTCCTATCTTTTTTTTTTTGCTTATGTTTTCTACCTATAAATTCTCCAAAAAAAAAACAAAAATCATAAAATGACTAAATATCAATTGGTTAATGCAAATTTTTACCAAACCCATGAAACTAAAATTTCATCAATATTTTTCAGCCCAATTAAACATATAACAACTACATAGAATTTTTATCATATATTTCTAGTTCTTTTTCTAAATTGGAAACCTTACCACCCACACATGTTTTGATAAAACCAATATTGAAAATAGTTGAAACCAATAATCATCAAACCAATGTTTTGATTAAAAAAAAAAAAAAACTATTCCCAATAGTTAAGATTGTATTTGATAAGCTATTGAGAAATAATCTAAAAAAAAACAAATTTAATAGAAAAAAGTTGAGAAAACAGACATAGTTCTCAAAATCAATTGCATCTAACAATCAACTATGTCCATATCAAACTTCAACCACAAGGCTTGTATTGTTATTTTTGCTTTATCTAAGCTAATACAAAACATGAAAGATACAACAATAAGAAATAATATGTCAAATGGTTGGAGAAAAGATGATTTCAACTTGTATTGTTATTTGCACTTTATCTATGTGAAAATAAAGAAATAAAATGAATGTAAGAAAAGTTTGAATACCCCAACCAAAAGCACATTTTGAATCATAGATAGAAAGTTGGAAGTGGCAAGAATTGGCATAATGTTTGCTACACATTTTTCCATTTCTTTTTTACTGCTATAAAGATTGTCACAACCAGTATGCAACCCAATAATCAGAATTCCAACCACAAGGCTTTCACTTACTCTTATGTCTAAAACAACAGGAACTACTAATTTTGCTCTTTCAGGACACATAGTGCCCAATCCATTAACACATTCGAGCTATAATTAATTAATTATGCAGTGAATTATAATGAAAAATTAAAGAAAATAAAAATAATTTTAACAGTATTAATTTAAGAATTACACCTCACAGAAGAGCTTAGTGCAGAAGGAATCAATCAAAGAATTATAGAAGTATTGAGGCTACAATGTTCATAGATTTATAACATACAGGGATGGATTATCTGAGATGATGAAAACAAATGGTGTTTCTCGATTATGGACAACAATAATACGGTGAACTTTAGTAGAGAAGGATTTTGAGAAATTTTGGTTGAGAGAAAGCTGCCTAATAACAAAAATTCTTCAATCTTATCCTGCAAACAAAAAAAAAATTAAGGCCAAGAGAATGGGCTAAAGAAGGTAAACACTATAAGGAATTAAGGCTTTTCATTTGCAAACAAAAGAATAATGAAAGCAAATTTAGTCTTTAAGAATGAGGCATGCACTTTGCTACTGGATTTAATCATTGGAGTTAATAAATTTCAGGTGAAAAACAAATCAAGCACAACTTTTTAAGAAATATTAGTAGAAAATGTATAAATTTTCACTAATCATACATAAATAATTAACTATAATCAACAAAATCTTATTTTTAGTTTACCTTTTATCTCATTATCTAACAAGTTCATCCGTACTTTTTTTTTTCTTAAGCTTGTGTTTAATGTCAAAACTAATTTGCAAGCAAAAACATTATTCATGAAACAATATTATAAAGTTTAATTGCATTTGATCATAAGTTGTTTAAAATCTTGGATGCCTTGACATATTCAAAGACAAACAATAATGTTGCTATTTTCATACATAATGAAAATTTAATTGTCATAGTATATATCTTTAAATTAAATTAAAAATAGATGATTCTTTTCAAACTAACAAAGCCTTGCCAAGATCAAAGACATCTTTAAATCCAATTAAAAGAACAAACCAACAAAAAGTACATTATTGTAAAAGGATAATTTTAGAAAACTTTGTCTTTCAACCATCATTTTGTGAAACAAATCAGCAAACAAAATAGAATTAATAAAGCACAAAAGGATTATTATTGAAAAGATCACAAAAAATGTTAAATCAATACTATATTAAAATTTTTTGTAAAGTAAATTATGTATTGAATGGTTCAACTCCTATATAATAATAGTTAAATAACATTTCAGAGAATTTAAACACCTCATATCATGAAATTTAACAACTAAAAATGACCAAAAGAACTAAAACCTTTGATTTCTTGACACGTTTAGTAGTTGAATAAACAATAGCAACCTTTAGTAAATATTAACTTTTAAAATAGAAAAAATAATTAGAAGCAAATGCAATTGAGGTAATCTCACAAAAGTATAACACAATTAGTTATATTTCTAGAACATCATATATAAAAGAGTCATGTTTTATAGTATTTAAATCTAAAATTTAGCTTCAGCTTTTCTTTGACACTTTTTACTCATTAAACAAAGCTATATTTTTAAATACTCCTTTCGTTTAATTATTAATATAGCTTATCTAAAATTGTTTTATAAGTTTATGTTGAGCTTCTACAAGGATTGGTTGGAAATCTTTGAAGAAAAAGGCCATTTATCCTCACATGCACTTTCTTAGTCTTTTTTAAAAATGATCCTATTAATGCTTATCATCTTTCCATTATTTAAGTAATTATAGCATGGCTTTTTCTTCCAAACTTTTTATTTTACTTATTTTTAACTTTTATATGCTGTCGAAGACATATTGGTACTACTAATTTATTGTCTGATTGTTATACATAGATAAAATAATCGATCCAAATATATAAAGTAACATCTAGCCATAGAAATCATTATGAGCTTTATATTACCTAATCACATGCTAAAGTAAAGACCAACATGTTGTCTTACCTCTACCCTCTAATCATTTCCCCATGAATAAAGCTTATTTTTTAACTTTATAAAATTATAAGTACATTGAAAGGTAAAGCTAAATATTATATTACAAATCAAAGAACTGGTATCCATCATTTCAAATAGGTTTACAAATTTACCATGTGAAAATGCATTTATTTACCTGGGCTACTCTACCTAAATGATATAGTGCAAGTGTATACCTTCGATTTCAATCATCCAAAGTTAAAATAGACACATACCTAAATATGTTATCATGTAAACCGAAACAAATAACTGGATAAAATAAAATTAAAACCAAATATCAAAGAGGTAATATACATACCTAATTTCAATTTGCAAAGATAAGCTTCTTTATTCTTCAATTCTACCATCATATTAGCTTTTATAACCTTAAGCACATGCAAAATCTCTTTTAATTCCTGATCACTCTTTCTTTAATAAAAAAAGGACAATAAAAAACCTTATATTATTTTTCCAATTAATTAAGAGAAACAAAAACAACAAAAATCACAAATTCAAATTTGACACATGAAAGATATGATCTTCACGTGAAAGATAAAGGTAAACTTCAAAGACCCATCGTTCATATCGAATATTGATGTATTTGTTTGAATCTCTATTTGAATCAGAGACTAGCACATCTTATCCCTATATCTCTCCCCTTCTCTTTGCCTTTCAATTTAGTCATTCAGCACTAATTGCAACTTATGTTGATGTTGGTTAGTGATTTTATTCCTCTTTCGTTGCTTCTTCTCTTTCTTGTTCCCTTATTTTTCTTTTTGTTTTTCCTAATTATCCATCTCTAAAAGCTTCTGGATAGCTTCAATGTTGATTTATTTCAACAATAATAAAGTCATTAAAAAAATGGGGAAGCATAGTTTTTTTTCTTCTTAAATTTATCCTCAAATTTTTTTTATGACATTAAAAAGGTGTTAAGCAAATTAATACAACTAAAGTTACGAGACAATTTTAATTTATTTTATAGATAAATAATTAATGATTCAATTTCATTTAGATTTTTTAACTTGCAACTTTGAATTCCTTGAAACATAAACAAATTAAGTATACTAAGTAATAGAAAGGTTTCATAAAAAATTTCTCCCATAACTTTGAATTTGATGAGTGTGGTATGATGGTGCAAATAGTTTTTTATTTATTCTTTTTGATGTACTATTTTTTTAGTTTTTTTTATGACAAAAGCTTTAAATAATAGTTGCTATGAGTTGTATTTGTAAAGATGAAAAACGCTACCAAATAATACTTTTACTAATACATGATTTATTTGTTATTTTTTAATTTACATAGTACTATTATTAATACATATTAAAAATATATTTTAGTTACTCATAAAACATATCGGCTTCAGTCCAACAAATAATTAACCTACTATTAAGTAACACATTAGTACATAAAAAATATTTTCACCATTTTATATATATCCAAATAATAAAAAAAAAATTTATACTTTTTATTTTTATATTTTCTGTGAATTTTAATATGTATTTTATTTGAGAAATAAAATAATAATTATTGTAAATATAAATTTGAAAGTTTATTTTAACATATCATTAATTTAAATTTTTTGAGTTGCAATATATTTCAATTAATTTTGACAAAAATTAAATTAATCTATATAAACTAAATGCATTATAATTATTAATTAATGCAATATTTTAATTATTCATATATTTGAAATCAATTATGACACTACTTTTAACTGTTGTTTTTATTTGATAGCAATTTTTCAAAAGTTAAACATTAAAATTAATTTTTTTGGCACATAAATGAAACGTTGTTGTGGCGTAGTTTTCCTATTAATTATATGATAATAATATAAAATTAATCAGCTCTACCACGTCAAAGATAATAAATATATAAGATTGATTCCTCGCCCTCTTTTCTACTCATCTTTCTCTATCAGAGGCAGACCGCAAATTTTGCAAAGAATCACAGAAATTTGTCTGTTTGTTTGTTTGTTTCAATGGCAGTGACGCTTTGGTTGAAAGAAAAGATCGTGGATCCTCTCCTCCAAATCCTCCGCAAGGGAGCAGAACCCAAGCAATTGGCCTTCTCCGCTGCTTTGGGATTTACTTTGGGAATATTCCCAATATGTGGTGATTGATTTCTTCTTTGCTTTTTCATTTGGATTTTTGGTTGATTCATAAAACTGGTTTGATTTGAAGAAAATAAAAATGGCTGCAGGGGTTACAGTGTTGCTGTGTGGAATGGCAATAGCGTTGTTGGGATCCCTCTCCCATTCTCCAACTGTCATGCTTGCTAACTTCATTGCTACTCCTATTGAGTTGAGGTAATTTTCCTTCTTTTTCACCGTTTCCCTTTGCCCTGCGTTTTTGGAATCCATTTTTATCGATGTTGTTCTCTCATATCATCTAGTCTGGTGGTGCCCTTCCTGCGCTTTGGTGAGGCGCTGTCTGGTGGAACTCATTTTCCATTAACTTCAGATGCTTTGAAGAAAGTTTTGACGGGCCAAGCTTCGCGAGATCTCCTCCTTAGCATTGCCCATGCTGTAAGTATCCAATTTCATATGTCTATATTTGCTTGCATTTTTAACAACCAAGTTGGGCTCATAATTCTATGGATGAATATTCGCTTATGAAAATTGGAGAAAACATTTATTTATTTGATTTTCTTGTGACTATAAATCTTTGATCTCCTTGACAGAATGTCCAAAACCTTATCTTTGAGGCATGTATCATAACACCATCTGGAGGTAGAGATGAGTGAATTTGTCACACTTAATATAGATTTTAAGGTTTGGTATGATTAAATCTTGTTTTGCCGCTCATTACCTCTACAATGGACTCCCGTGTCTGCATCTGTCTGGTCTGAGCTGCAAACCCTTTTAATATAGGGGATTGGTAAGACTCTTTGCAGACTGAATCAATTTTCCTAACATGGGTTTCCTTGTTCAGCTTAAGCTGGAGCTAGCCCTTGAGATAATCAAGTTTATTATATTTGATCTTCCAACAACTTGACACTAAACATTTTTAAAAGAAAATTCTTACTGCTGTTTCTGACACGATGGCTTAGTATGTTGTTGAGGTTTCATAATATGGGATTAAGGTTGCAAATCATGGACACTTTCAATGGTTTCCCACCATAAAATAAAGATAGGTTAATTACCCATTTAGTACCCGGACTATAGTGAAATTGTCATTGCTACTTGCAAAAAATTTGCAATTAAGTACTTCAACTTTCTTTCCCTTAAGCAAATTGCAAACCTCACTAGCTCCATTAGTCAAATGAGTGACATAGCAAAAACTAGAAAATAGGAGTTAGACACAGGGCACTCTCCTATTGGTTGTTTTTTGCCACATCACTAATTTGATTATAGTCTCAGGTGCAAACTATTTAATGGAAGCAAAGTTTAGGTAGTACCAAATGTGTAACTAACCCCATAAAGATAATACTCATCTTTTTGTGAAGATCCACTAAATAAATAATGCATAGGTGTATCCAATGTGCACAGCTTGTAGAAGAAAAAGACCACAGCTTTATGATTTGTAAAGGCATCACCACTCAAAATAATTATAACTAAAGATGAAAAAACTCTGAAGAAGAAAAGGCCAAATCTGTTAGAAACAGATTGTAAAGAATCTTCTGATTTAGAACACTATCTTAAGTTTGTGCTTAGGAGTTTTCCTTTCTCTAAAAGGATGTTTTGTCATCTCCTTCCACCTACTCTGCATTAAACACAGAGATGTAATTCTCCTTGGTATACTGCTATCATTGTTGCCAAATCTCTATCTTCACTGTGACATCAGCATTAATATTGAACAGTCCAAAAGCCATGAGCCCCAGACAACCTATCTCTGGTTATAATTCAGTTTCCTCATTCTGTTTGTACTGTCGCTTTAAATAAGTTGCTCCCTTCCTTCACCAGGTTGACTTTAGTGTAGTTTGAGGTGGAAAGGTCCATTTTACTGCTATGCTGCAATATGATTTATGTAGACTTAAGGTGATGGAATTCGTCAAAGATGGCATTGTAGACTTTATGTAATTATACATTAGCTGAAGCTTTTTTCATCAATTTGGAATCACATTTGAAAATCATCTTATACAATTGCTGCAGCTGTTGGGGTGGCTTGTTGCGGCACCCATTATTTTGGCCACGCTCTACATACTATTTTTGCCGATTTTCAAGGTTCTAGTCCCCAAGTTCAGCAGTGTTCATTTGAGCCCTAAGAAACAACTTCATTCACATTCAGAAGTTAGGCTTAAGGTGAGGGATGTTTGATTAATGTTGTAATTTGTATATTTCTTATACGGAGCACATTGACTGGCAACTAACATAATAATACCTGTTGTATATAAGTTTTTCTAAGCTTAATTCATTTATAAAGATTGTGCTTTATGAGCTTTATTGTGTTGAGTATTGTAGCTGAGATTGCATCAGGATAAGAATATGAAAATAGGAAAACTAGGTTGACCATAAATGTTGGAACTGGAAACCCTCCTATTATGTGCATTATTGAGTGTCTTATTATATATATATATATACACACACACACATATGCTCTTGCCTTTACTCCATTCCAGTGACTGAAAATTGAGGGGGTGCTAGTATTTTCAAAGCAGAATGGGTTATCCAGGTGGGCAGAAGGCCTGATTTGGCTTAGCAGTTGGGTTAGGGTCCCTGCCTTTCCCAACATTTAGTTACTTTTAAGTTAAAAAATGCTGATGATTATTTCCAGAATGTATTCTTTGTGGCTGAACTCTCTCTCAAAGTAGAAAAGAAAAATGGCATGGGAGTCCTTCAGGAAACGATAGGTAAAGGATTAAAATTCACTTGTTAAGTAACGGCTGAACTAAGCTTGTGTGTGTTTTTTATACATCTTTTGGAAACTGAGAGATGGAAAGGTTAATATAAAGATGTAAATGATATATTAATACTAACAAATTAATTCGGATTTAACTCAAATAAAACTTGAGTTCGGTTGTTATCGTAAAGCTTAAAAAGAAAAAAAAAGTGGGCTGCTAAACTCATTCGGTGTAGACTTTTCTAATTGATTTTGTGAAACTCCAAAAACCCAAAGATAAGCCCTACGGCCTATGCCTTTTGTCATGGAACGGATGAAAAAGTATTGTTTCTTTCAGCCAATTCAAAGAGAGCCAAAATTGGAGCTACCAATTAAATTTAACTTAAGGCTAAAATTTACAACTCTAATAATATGAATTCAAATTTATAACATGTATCTTTGTGTAATTTTAACTCTGTATTTTTAATTTAGTAAACAAATGTTGAAAACAAACAGTATTATATATAATTGACAATTTTTTACCAAATTAAGAATAAAATGTTAAAATTACAATGTTCAAAGATGAACAATAAATTTGGTTTATCAGTTTAAGTAGACCGTTATTTTTTATCTTTATCTCAAACTCATACTCCCTGCGCCCTATAAATAATGCTCGAATTGATTTTTTAGTTGTCGCTTTTTTTTTTTTTTTAATTTTGACAATTAATATTTTAAATATTTTATTAAACAAAATTTTTATAAAATATATTTTAAAACCTCTTCGTTCAAGATTTTTGGAAAGTATATTTTCATATTTTTATTAATAATACATTTAAAATAAAATAAAGTTAAAATTAAAAAAATTTCATCATCAAAGGTCAAACTAAGACAATATTTGAGATACAAAAGGAATAACAAATAAATAAATAATCAAATGTTCTATAATTAATCAATTTTGATTATCTTCATGCATCGAGGCAATTTTAGTTGGTCTTAGAAACTATAATTTAATGTTGGATTTGGTCGAAACCTCACCCGGTCACTAACATAATTTTAAATCAAAACTAAAATTAATCTAGATGTGGGAGAGACCAATTCCGCTAAACCAAGGTCCATAAAAGTGTTGCTGCTGTCCTATGCTTTTCCGATGCTATCTTCTGGGATTTAAATGGCCACCTACATAGGAGAAGAAGAAAGAATTGCTTTTTATATCTCCAGAAACTGAAGTTATGAAATCAAATGGGTTGATTTCATATATATAGAGATAAAGGGAGGGACCTATTCAATTATGGGTTCAAATGTAGAATTAAATCAAGACCACACTTAATTAATACCATACTACTTGTTCAGGTATATCACAATATGATACCACTGTAATTGCTCATAATTTGACATTAATTGACCTAAGTCCGGATAAATTGATTGTGTTAATCCACAGTATAAGTTAATTACAACAATTTCCCACTTCGATAACAAAAGTCAATTTCAAATATTTTTAAAAATAGTATAATATATATACTTATATGTTTAAAAACCAAATCCAAACTAACAAAATGGTCATAACCAAAACTATCGAATACAAGTAAATACCTAAATCATCACACAATAGAATGAATATTTGTAAGCCCTATAATACATTATCCCAATAAGGTATGAATGTGTGGACTTACATGCCATCTACAATCAAAAAGTATTTATAAGCCTTAGAATGAATTGTATCAACAAGATACATGTACATAAACTTATGAATGCTTCAATAACAGCAACAACAACAACAATAACAAGCATATATGAGCCCTTAGAATTCATCTTACTAATAGGGTACGTGTACATAAACTCATAAACATTTAAGAAACCATAGTATGATTGTGTGAAATGAAAATGATATAAGAACAGAGTTAATGTCAATTTCCATTAGGTCTTCTACATCTGAACTGAATAATGTGTCACTTCGAATGAAGCACATGAGACTTAACCTAAAAATCTTAACTAATGGAATGCCATATTCATCGGAATGCGCTTAAATATAATAGACATATGACATAAAGGAATTCATGCATCACAATTGCAACTAATTTCATTACACAGAGCTTCTATTAACTTAATACAATGAAAGACTCTACAAGTCTTGTATAAGTGTCATGTTATCAAAACACTTTAGCAACCCAAATTATTTAATGTATCGACAGGAATGAGTTTTGTAGATTATGTGCTCTATAATTTACTCGAATAATGGATTCTATTACTTTCTCTTTAATAATTTGAATAATGATATCTATTTATTCGAAGTGTGAGAAACTTCTAATATTCGAGAGAAAGCTACTACTGTAAATTTACCATAAAATATCTCTAGCAACTTTGAAATAAGAACCAAAAAACCTAGCCCTAAAATGAGATTCTGTAGCCAATAATCTCACATGTAGCTTCATCACATGTTGTATGCTTTCCCTCATTAATCGAGAATGCTATAAATGTTCATTTCACACTTCAAAAAACAATTCCTCTAGCTAATACTATTAACATTCGCTTTCAATATCATACAAAAACAAGATTAAATATCTAACTAAATCTAGAATGTCTGATTGTTGATGTTTTAATATAGAAACATTCAAGTGTCTTCAAAGTACACCATAACATACACAACATTGAAATGTGTATATACTTGAGCCTATATCAGACTATTCGCAGATGAAGCATACTGAATATTTGACATGAGTTCTTTCATTATCATTATGGGAACACTAAGAGTTCAATGGTATGTCACTCTTTACAACAAGCACCTTACTAGGGAAAGACTAGTGCACATTAAACTTACTCAACATATGCTGAATGTAGGTTTGCCTTACTAGGAAAACACCAGTGCATATCAAACTTACTCAACACACATTGAATGTAGGTTTTCTCAAACCAACTAGTTATTCCTTTAAATCTGTCACAAAGAATCTCAATCCCTAAAGCAAAATGAGAGCCTTATTTAGATTTTTCATTCAAAGTGACATGACAACATTTGTTGTCTCATACAATAGGTTAGTGTATATAGCTATTAATATGATATCATCAACTTAGAACACCCAAACTACATAGCTATTTCTACTAACCTCTAGACATATGCACTGATCACTAACTAACATTTTCCTTAAAGTGAAAATCTCATTATACTCTAAACATCACAAAATAGATGGCTTTGAAGTCCACAAATAGACTTCTAGAATTAATAAATTATATGTTCCATTACAAAAAACTATAAACCTTCAAGTTACTCCATTAGACATCTTAACGTCTAGCTGATTTAGCTCAAAGCCAAATAAGCCACCAATCCAGTAAAGATTTTAAAAGAATCAATAGGATAGAAGGATTTATTACAACTAATTCCTTCTTTTGTTTAAAGTTTTGGGCCACATGACTAGCTTTAAATATTTTTACTTGGCTTATGAAATACCTTTTAATCTTGTAAGTTCATTAATAATTAATTGGACTACAATAATGTGGTAACTCAACTTGATTCCACATATCATTGTGCAATACTGATGCAATCTCTTCATGCATGGCAAACATTCAACTCTAAAAGTTAAGATCATCAACACCCTCCTGAAAAGCATAAAATCATAAAACACATGAACACCATATTTATATTCCTTTTATAAGTTCAAATGTAATTCTAAAAATGAGATTGTTGGGATATGTTGTTAGTTCAACTACTTGTGGCATTTTTCATAAATAGTTAAATCCCATAAGGGATTGGCATAACAACATATCCTACAATCAAAATGACTTTATAAGGTTCAAGACCTAATACTCCCATTATATAAGTTATCCTCTAAATAGATTGTATAGTCAACCTGATTATTCTAATATTGTACGATGAATGACTAAACCTAGAATCTTTGAAGCTGATGTAACAACCAATACAATGTCACTGATAGCTTTCCAGTCAAGTTTTGATTATGGGTTGTAGTTCATTTAATCTGTATTACAACCCTAAATGCAAAAAATAGCTTGAAAATTGGCTTTTGTTGTCATAATGTCTAAATCTATAGACCTATCGCTAGACATAGATTTAAGGGAATGGCCACAAATCTTTTTTATTTAATTGCAATTAACCACCTAATTTAATCTGTTCATTTTAAAGAGATGTCTCAAGCTTGACTCAGGTATCTTTAAATAATAAATTATAGTCTATGAAATCAGATTTAGGTTCAACGCATGAAGAAAGGTTATAGTACCCTTACGCCGTCCATCCAAAGGATGGTACCAATTTGACTTCCAGTTATCCAAGCCTTAAAACATCTTTATAGTTTACCAAATAATTTAATTATTAGAAATTGATTTTAAATTACTCCAATAGTTTGTAATTTAAAATAATTTTCTCACCTCAAAAGTATTTCATGGAGACTTGTGTGTCATTCTGAAGAGGCTTTATCGTCAGATTCATTAATATATTTTCTAAGAAATTATTTTTGAAAACAATCAATAAAATCTTCTAATTGTTTGATAAGATTTTATTTCGATGCACATCCCAATAGTTTGGTGAGATTTTTATTTGAAAACTTTTTTTATGAAAATTAAAAAAAGTCATTAAATCTTGCAATAATTTGGTAAGATTTGACTCAAAAATTTAAATCCTTTAATCGTTTGGTAGAATTGAAAAATATATTATTTTATTTTTACAAAAAAAAAATTCATTAAATCCTTCAATAGTTTGGTAAGACTTAATTCAAGATTTAAATTCTCTAATAGTTTGATAGTATTGAAATTTTTTATTTTATCAAAAAAATTTTATTATGAAAAATTCTTAAATTTATTTGGTAGGACTTATGAATTTAGTTTGAAAATCCCCTTTTTTTTAAAAAAATAAATTCATAAAAGTATTACATAAAAATAAACTATTTTTCCTTTTTTTTTTATCACATTAATTCAATCAACAATTTAAAATAATAAATAAAAAACAAAATAATAAAGAAACCTAAAAAATATAAAATAAAATAAAAATAAATAAAAGAAAAAGAGAAAATAAAAAAATAAAAGAAGA